CCTATGTGAGTGTGAACTGGGCCGGTTCTATGAGATTTGTGAAGGGCTACAATTCTCTAGAGCACTCATGAAAGACCAGGTTGTTCAGGGCCAAAATGAACACAATAGTGAGAACTAAACTGTGTCTGGGAATATACTGTGTGAGTTCTATTGTCTTGGTTTACACAAACAGCTGAATAGTTCAAGACATCATGTTCACTGATTAGCTAGTAAATCCGATAGTGTTTCACAAGGGAAGGTTCAAAGCCAAAAGGTACCTATCCTTTGTAGAATATTACCAATTTCTATTCTCTCTGTATTTACATCATGTTGTTGCATTTTGTCTCTATCAATTTTATTCATGTGAGGGATTGTTGGAAAATTTATAAAGAAGTAGTTGTGAATTGAAATAGACTCAATTTTGAATAAAATGGTGTAACCTTTCATGGTGTCTTTTTGTTTTAAAGGAATGGTCAAACCTCCATTTGAATGAAATGGTGCAAACCTTTCATAGTGTCTCTTTATTTTAAATGAAGGGTTATGTCCCTTCTTCATACCTTTTCTATTCAAATTGAATAGGTGCCAACAAAGCCTATATAAAGGCAAGCCCATTCCAATTTTGATTGATTCCGAAAATTCATTTTCCTTGCCTTTATTTTGCTCTCTTGCGTCCTTTATTCTTCGTATTATTTTAGGAAAAATTTCAGAGAGATATAGAACACAAGGTTCTAGTTCGCCGGACAAATTTGTTTGAAGTGCTACTACAAATATGTGAAGATCATTGTATCCTGAGAGATAGACGCCACATAACCGTAAGCACCGTAGCGGGGCGAATCTGTCTTAAGGATAAAGTATCACACACTCGGCTTGGTCTTTTGATTTTTAAATTCGGTTCAACAAAATAAATTCTGTAAGTTTTATTTTATTTTGTTTGGCTTTGTTTTTATTTATTTCATTTACACAGAAGATTGTCCAACACCAAGTTCTTTCACAAAATGGCTTCGTGGAGCAAACAACGGAATCGAATCTCATTTATCCAGCTAGAGGATGGTATGATTCTCACTGAGCAATACACTAGACTTTTATGAATCATTTCAAACAGCTTTTCTGTTGTGCTGACATGGATTCAAAGGCTACAACGCGGAATTCCGATTTGTGTTCTTTCCCTGACCATTTTAATTTGTTGTTTGTTATTAAAAGCAAGCTAGGTCCAGATCAAATCTCTATTTTGGAACAACCTTTTCAAGCTCTTGGTTAAACAGGCTATTTTCCAACTAGGTAAATATAAGACTCCGAGTCCAGATAGGCTGATTGCTGGTTTTTATCAAACTTACTGGACAATGGTGGGAACTTGAACCTCCATTTCAAATGCAATCTTAACTTTTCTTAGTTCGGTTTTTTATTGAAAGACTTCAACAAAACGTTCATCTGTCTGATTCCCAAAACCCCGAAATCCTACCATTGTCAATGATTATAGGCCTGTTAGCTTGTGTAATGTCATCTATAAATTTGCACCTAAGCTTCTGGCTAATAGACTTAGATTATTCTTCCCAGTTTGATGTCTCCTCACCAAAATGCTTACCTAGTGGGTAGATTTATCATCGATAATATCTTGTTCGCCCATGAATTGATTGAGTATATTAGACATGGACATAGGGGTCAGAAAGTGATGTTTGGTTTAAAACTAGATATGAATAAGGCGCATGACCAGGTTAATTTGTCATTTCTGAGATATGTTTTGGCTATTGTTGATTTTAGTGAGAGATGGGTGCAATTGTTATCGCAATGTTTCTCCACGGTGGCCTTCTTAGTATTAGTTAATGGTCAGCAATCGGACTACTTGATTCCTTGTGCTGGATTGTGACAAGGCGATCCTTTGTCCCTATATCTATTTTTCACAGTTATGCAAGTTTTATCTGAAGGCTTTAAGTATATGTCTTATCGGGGTATTTGTCGAGGGATTGCAATAAGTAGATAGTCATCTCCTGTTTTACATTTGTTGTTTGCAGATGACTATTTTATTTTCATGAATTTTGTCGAGAGGGTGATCTGGTGTCTCATTTGGTTTTTAAATGCTTTTTGTGAGGTCTCTGGTTTGAAGATCAACTTAAGAAAATCGGAGATGTTTATAAGTCCTAATATGACTGTAAACCATTCCCAATTACTCCAATCGGTTCTCCATTTTAATGTTGTAACACAGCCAGGGATGTATCTGGAAGCATAGATTGATTTTTTACATAGCAGCAAGATGAAGTTGTTTGAACCGTTTAGAATCTAGCATAAGCTTCAAAGTTGGAAGGGTTGAGTCCTTAATATGGCAGGGAGTTGTGTTCGCATTAAATACGTACTCCACTCTATCTTTTTGTACATTTTTTCCTTTTTTAAAATTCCTGAAGGTACTTTAGAAAACATTACCTCAATTATTAGAAATTTTTGTGGTGTGTTGACAAAGAGAAAGGCATGTGTTAGCGAAACTGGGATTGTATTTGTTTACCTAAAGGTTGTGGTAGGTTAGGTTTGCATGACCTAGGTAGTTTCAACCAAGCCTTGATGGCCAAATAAGCATGGAGACTACTTACCAACGTGGAATCTCTTGTATCTAAAGTTTTGCTTGGTAAATATTGCCACTCTAGTTCTTTTGCTTCAATGAAGCCATTTTGTAATGCTACATGGGGCTAGTGTTGTATTTTATGGGTCGAGATTTGCTCTTAAAGGGCATTTGTTGGATAGTGGGTGATAGCTAGTTGATTGACCCTTTAGAACATCAATGGATTCCGACCATTGACAATCTACTCAAGGATAGAGGTCTTTGCAGTACTTCACCTCTTTGTCTCTTTCTCATTTTATTGATCCAGAATCCCATTGTGGCGTTCCAATTTATTTAAAGCATTATTCGGGGCATTCATTTTCCTCTTGATCAGTGTAAAGATAAGCCCAATTTTGGGGATGTTCTAAACATGGTGAGTATATTGTTAAATCTAGATATGATGTGGCAAGGACCTTGATAATGGAAGGGAGACGCCTTAATCATGTCCGTGTCTGGACCTTTATGGGCTTTGAAAGTCCTCCAAAATGAAGTATCTTTATCTGGAAATGCTTGCACGATATTTTGCCGATTCGTTGGAATCTAAGGGAAAAGGGGATGAATTTAGATACTATCTATTGTAGGTGTCTAGCTGATAATGAAACCATGGAGCATGTTTCATTGATGTGTCCTGATTCTCAAAGAATTTGGCGAGGGGCATCGTTAGGATTGGACTTCTCAGCTGGAGAACCTTTGAGCTTTAAGGAATGGTTTACACAATGGGTGGAATAGGTCAAGGATGAAGATCTTCTGCTTCAATCCATAACTGTACTGTGGGTTGCATGGTTACAACGAAATAGTGTAGAATTTAAAAATACCTTAATGAACCCAATACAATCAATAAATTTGGTGCAAGAGTTGTATGTGTCTGTAAAGAGGAAAAGTCTTATTCAACCACCTAAGCCCTGAAGTACAGATGTAAATACCACTGGGTTATATAGTAGGCCTTGTCTACTAATGAATACTGCTGCTAACACTCAAGCATTGCATGTCAATACCTTGATAATTGATGGAGCTTGGAAGGACAGAGAATGAGGCAAAGTTGCTGTTGGTTAGGTTTGTTATACACCAAGGTTCTTATCGGTCAGGAAGCGAGGCAAATCCATTTGCCATCCCCTTTAGCAGCAAAAACTCGAGCATGCATGGGGCCTATCAAGTGGGAAATTGAAAATCATCTTCTTACAATTTCCATTGTTATAGATTGCCAAATTTTGCTTGATATCTTGAATAGCATTTTGTAAATGAAGATTGGAACACACTTACCGTTATTAACGATGTTAGGAGTCTTAGTAGCAGGTTTACTTAATCTTAAGTATTACTATAGTTTCGAGTGTTGTAATTGAACCAACTCACAAGTTGGCTAAAAATGTAATGAATTTTATTAGTTTATAATATAATTATGTCAAAACATAAAAAATAAAATAGTATGGTTCCTTCTGTGGATCTAAGCGCCAGACTGTTGGCAGATCTGTGTTTTAGTTATGGTCACCTGCTATTCATTCTCAATGCAACAAATTGTAGTGGTCTATGTTATCAAAATCCCCGAAGGTAGTGCAGACGCTGTGATTTTGGTTGTGTTTTTTGTTTGTGAAATAATGAATCAATCGTAAGATCTATTAGCGGTTTAAAAAGCATTCAGTTTTCTGGTGAATAGATTATTTATTTTAGTCCAAATTTGTGTTTTAACTACAAGTGAAGGACAATTGCCATTGATTGCATAGTTTTTGTGTGCCTGTCTAGTTTTTGTCTTGCATGGAGGTGGTTGTTGGTGGTAGAGGTGATAGTGTGGTTGTGGTGATATCCGTTTAAATGGGTATTCATGAGCAACCAAATTAAACCTAATTTAATTGGATTTGTGAGATATAACCCATCTAAACTTGTTTATGAATTTAAACACGTTTAAATGAGTTTCAAATGGGTATATAATCGGACAGTCATGGATTCAAATTGAGAATGCAACCTTTAAACATAATTCATGCAACCAATTTAAAGTAATTGCCTTGATCATATTAATTGAGTAATAGTAATGAAAATAAAAATAATAACCAGAACAAAAATTAAACTAGTAATACTTTGTTCTAAAATTAAATAAACAGTAACGATGATGGCAAAGCACTCAGTATAATTAGGCAACCCCACAGGTGCGAACAGGTGCGATGTAAACTTGATCCACTGGTAAAATTCATCACAAAGACTATAAAACAGCTAGCAATTGCGTTCATACGCCCAAAGAAGCTCTTCCAAATACTCACCAGGAATTAAAAAAATGCACAATATTAAATGAAAATGTCAACCAAGTTAAACAAGTTAGATTACTCCAAAAAAACCTTCCTGGTGACTTTACAGGTGAACAAGCAAATACTAGAGCCAAGGAATATAGTACATCCTATACCTATTCCTTAAAAATAGTGATTGTTCAATCTCGACAGCAAACAAATTGACAATAACAATAACAACCACTACCAAATAGTCATTTTATTCATAAGGTCTCTCAAAACTCAATTTCATTGCCACAGCATTACACCACTACAGAGAGACAGATTCTTAGCAAACCAGAGGACCTGAGGGTCCGAATCTTTTTCTTCCAGTTTTTCCCACTTGTTTTTGCAGAAATAAGTTCCAAAGTCATTACAGAAAAGAATGCCAAAACAGATTGTTAGGCCATTGACAAACATTTATGTCACACACTGATGGATGAGATGATCCATCCCAACATATATTCCAAATAAGCAAAATATATTGCCAGCAAAGGTCAAATACATTCACAAACTGCTCAACATTGAGCCAAATGGGTGGGGGAAAATAATTGGTAAGATAATTAAGGGGATGAGAACAGTTATATGGCAATCCCCTCTCCAATCTTCAAACATCAGGACAGACATGAGGTCAAGAGATTGCAACTGCATCCTTCTTCACAGATGATTCATAAGTAGTGTCGGAGACTTGGGGGGGGGGAGGGACGTGAGGTCAAGAGAATGCAACTTCAGCCTTCTTCACGGGTGATTCATAAATAGTGTCGGAGACTTTGGAGGGGGGCCAATAACGAAGAACTGACCTACCAACAATGTTTTTTATTGGAAGTGGACCCCTGTAGAAGACACATGCAGTAACATGTCACAATAAATCCTCCCTAGTATAAATGCATGATAAAAAAATAAAATAACCAAACGAAAAAATTTGTTTGTATGCCTTCATTTTTTGTGATTTGGATGTTAAAATAATCATGAAAATTTTTTAAATGACAACTATCAAATTGTACTACAATATCCAAACAAAATACTTATCAGGAAATGTTAATATTGGGGAACCAGAATTACCAGTTATGGGAATCAAAACTGTTGTTGCGGTTGTCCCCCATCACAAACACATAACCTTCAGGAACAAGCTGCATAAATTGAATTCCAAAAATTTCAGACCAATGTGATAAATGTTTTAGGCATTTAATAACAGTAATGACAAGAAATTGACGTAAAGAAAGCCAAAATAACAAGAAGCAGGAATCATTACCACTGGATCCATTTCATAAGCAAGGGGCTCTAAAATGAAACCCTCATCTTGCACAATACCATTCACCATCAATTTACCATCACGTACCTATTACACACAGAGTTGGATGAAATTAGTGTCGAGATGAGGTACAGAGGATTCATCACTCAGATGGAGAAGAGAACTTACTTCAACAAAATCCCCTTCCTTTGCAACAATTCTTTTAATAAAAACATCACACGAACTATAGCCAACTTCCTGCATGGCGTACCCAAAACACAGCAACAAATATAGTTAGTTTCTAATGCATTGGTATGAAAATTGTTATTTGCTCATTCTGCAAATTCAAAACACACCTGAAGAATTGGAGGAGCCTTAAAAATCACAATATCTGAAACTTCAGGCTTTCTAAAAACATACGAAACCTGAAACACCAAAACCATCAGCAAACATCAACTCAATATTCACAAAAGTAAAGACTCATCTTTAACAACCAGAAATCTTACACTTAAGTTATACATAAAACCAAATGAAGTATCTTTTATCAATGAATTAATGACAATTTCCAAAAACCATGACATTTTTGGGTATATTACCAGAAATGATAACATCGATGAAAAGGCAATAAATTTGTAACACCTATTATTATTTACAGTCAACATTAACCAAAAGGAGAAATATTAGAATGACATTTTACATCTGTGACAGAATGCCAAAACGTTGTTAATATCGATGGAGAGCACAAGTTGAAGGACCCCTATTGTACTGCAAGGAAAAATATGTACGAAGCATTAAAACATCTGTCTGAATATACTTCATGAAAAGAATCAGATAAGATATGAGTTGATGAAAAGAATCAGACTAATTATTCAGCATATTAGACTAATTATCTGACAATGCCTTCCTAAAGGTTTTCACCATAAAGCATGAAGCTTCACAAAGTGAATTATGCCTTTAAAGAAATTGGGATTGTTAAAATAAATTAGAAGCTAGAAACACAGCAAGTAACACCTACTATTATTTACAGTCAACATTAACCAAAAGGAGAAATATTAGAATGACATTTTACATCTGTGACAGAATGCCAAAACGTTGTTAATATCGATGGAGAGCACAAGTTGAAGGACCCCTATTGTACTGCAAGGAAAAATATGTACGAAGCATTAAAACATCTGTCTGAATATACTTCATGAAAAGAATCAGATAATATATGAGTTGATAAAAAAGACAGCATACAGCATATTAGACTAATTATCTGACAATGCCTTCCTAAAGGTTTTCAGCATAAAGCATGAAGCTTCACAAAGTGAATTATGCCTTTAAAGAAATTGGGATTGTTAAAATAAATTAGAAGCTAGAACACAGCAAACAGATTACATTTATTGGGTGTTTGGCAAGAAAAAAAATAGCCTAGTTTAGGCTAAAATTCACAAAAAGACAAAATAGGCTAAAATAGCTAATAAAACAAAATATCACATCAAACCCATAATCATTTCACTTTTTCTCTCACAAACATCACATCCAACCACAAAAAAATCCAATCATCTTCCCAAACACAAAAATTTTAGCCTACTAAAATAGCCAAAAACTAAAATAGCCTACTAAAATAGCAACTTAAATAGCAACTTCCCAAACGAAGCCAAGATAGTTTCATAAGTCCTCTTAAAAATTGGTTTTGGTTCCATACATAAGGATGTTAAAAAGAAGTAGAGCATAATGTTAACAAAGTTAGGCCAGTTTATTGAATTGAAATGTGTTAACACAATCTTATTTCAATGTGTATTTTTTACCTTCTAAACAATACAACTATCAAAATTGGCTCAAATGTTAATTTTGGCTATGGCTCATTCACAATTATGATTCACCCAATATCTATTATATACTCCAATCCAATTACATACATTCACAATCATGTAATTAAAAATAAAATAAAAAAAACACAATTTACAAATAAGATAGCATTCAAATGACAAAATCAGCAAAGGTAAACGAGCTTATACCTTCTCCGCTAATATCCGGTCGCCCACGTCCAGAGTTGGGTACATAGAAGACGAAGGAATGGATCTTGGCTCGGCCAAGCTCGATCGGAAAAGGATACTAACAGTCAACGCCGTGAAGACGGCCTTTGCATCCTCAGAACGAAAATTGAAAAACCTCGAAAGCCAATTGGTCTTCTCAAATGGAGTTCGACTATACACCTTCGAGATATCCTCCTCCTCCACCGAACAATCATTCTTGATACACAGTGTTCCACCTTTATCCACCTCATTACTAGCCGAGACAGGACTCGGCCCGTTACAAGGAAGCCACTTCGATCCTTGCAAAAAAGGGATCATCGAAGAGGCTTTTCCAGGCGAAATCCCAAAAACCCCCATAGACGAAGCAGTCGAAACACTGGCCGACGACTTCATCAACGAAATCAGGCCGACAAGAAGCGGCGACTTACAACTCTCGCCGAAGATTTCACCAGAGAGGGTCGAACAGCTCGATTTCGGGCGGCGGAAATCAGGTTGTTGGTGGTAGCTCCTGGCGGCGGCGGCGGGGGGATCGACTTCGGGCTTCTGGTTGTGACAGAAGAAACGAGAGCGGACGAAGCATTCGTTAAACAATCGGCAACCTCCGGCTTTGTTGGAAGCCGAGGCTGCGAGGTTTTGGGCAACATAGCCGGAGTAGGTGACGGTGAACCGAATCGCCATAGCTGCAAATTTTGAAAGCTTGATGAAGATTTGGTACAGAGTGACTACGTTGACTAACGGTGACAATATCAGAATCCCTATAAGCCAATAGATAACATTTTCGTTGAAAGAATCAGTAAATCGTAGACGGTAGGGTTGAATTGAAGTGTTAACCTAGAACTGAGTAAAGAATCGAAAGCTACTGAGAAAATTTGGCTGCAAAATTGGGTATTCTGGTGATGATAGAGACGAAGAAGGAGGAGGAATTGGGGAAACCTGAGCGATCTGATCTCTCAGGACTCAGGCAGAGGCAGAGATGCGATATAGTCGAGAGAAACGATGGCTAGTTGGGATGAGGAGGTCATTAATAGGGGAGCTTCTATATACGCACACCCTTTCCTCTCTATCCTCTCTATGCAAATCCTTCTTAATACACACACTAAAAAAATAAATCTTAATATATTTGACTCACTACATACACCTATTATTCCACATATACCCCTAAATGTAAATTATACACACACACCCCCTCACACACACACACCCGTGAGAGACCCCTCTCACACACACACCCATCTGACAACCCCTCTCACACACACCCATGTCTCACACTCTCCACCGTTCCTCTCCAAAAGCGTCATCCATCCATTTGTGTCATTGAAGTATTGGCATTGAAGGGCATTGAAGAGCATTGAAATTTTCACATTTTAGGCTAGTTTACACAGATTAGAATCTTCTCATTCCTATTTTATTTGTAATGTAGGGTTAATTTTTACCATTTTCGAAATTTTCAGTCCACTATGATTGCCGTGTTTCATTCGGAACTGGTTATTCGAAATTTTTGTTTTTGTTCAGCATTAGAGTTCCGAAATTTCTGCTTCTATTCGGCACTATAGTTCCGAAAATATTTACTTGGTTCGGCTTTCAAGTGCCGAAAATAATTTTTTTTTCGATTTTCAACTTCCGAGTATTAGCTATAATTTCGGACAACAACTTTCGAACAGAACAGGTATTTTCGGACAACAACTTCCGAACAGAATAGGTGTTTTCGGACAACAACTTCCGAACAAAAATATTTTTTTTTTTTTTTTCCTTCTAACACTTAATTATAACACACACTCTCATTTTAATTTTACACACACTCTCATTATAATTTAAAACACTTATTATTTACACACACACTCTCATTAATTTTGCACACACACTCATTACACACTTATAATTTAAAACACTCTCATTAATTTTACACACACTATGTTTATTTACACACACACTCATTACACACACTTAGTATTTTTTGCAGATAATATGGATTTTGAATATCAACAACGTGTCCCACCTACTGCTTTAAATAGACGACGTCGTGAATTGGATGTAGACCATCAACGGGGACGAGGGCGTGGGCGAGGATGAGGTCAAGGTCGTGTCGAGGTCGTGATCCAGTTTCGGTAGAATATGATATTCCCAGTGCCAGTCAAAGTGGGGGCCGAAGCCAAAGACGAGTTGAAGGTTATGATATGCCTGACATTGGTGTGGAGGATACCTCTTTACCTGATTCTCCTCCTGTCCAGGAAGAGTACCTTACTCATGCTTTTCCAGGTGGACCGACTGATCCGTCAATACTGCGGAGTTTCAATAGTCATGTGGCTGCAGCTATTTGGCACGGGGAGGTAAACATTCCTCAGTAAAATTGAAATTCATTTGTATATGAGTTGTTTTTTTTTTTTTTTTGTGTTGTATGGTAGTTTGTAATGAGATATCATTTGTGTTGTAGGAACAAGGGCCCCTAAAGTGTCATAATCACTTTTCCAAGATCCTTGCATGGCCATGGTGGTTAGTAGAGAACAACACTAGATTCAAAGCCATTATTGAGCAGTCTAGACTGTCACTGTTAGCTCGTTGCACTTATCGGTTCGTCAACAAGCTTCTAGTCTCATGTTTTGTTGAGAGATGGCAACCTGAGACGAACACATTTCACATGACAGTTAGTGAGATGACCTTGACCCTGGATGATCTTGGCACTATTCTTGGCCTTCTCATTGTAGGCAAATCAGTCAGCATACCAGATGTGACAGATCATCATAGAGTTACATTACTCGTTTATGGCTTGGGGATTACTGAACGTGCAGCACATGAAGAGGTTTCTTCTGCTGGTGGCAATTCAGTCAGGCTTGAATGGTTGCGAAGTCAGTTTGCTGGTGTCACAGATTCAGACCCCGAGGAGGCTATACAGTGCGCTGCAAGAGCTTATTTATTGTTTCTGTTGGAATGTACACTCTTCAGTGACAAGAGTGGCGGTAGGGTTCCCGTTGCTTACCTCGGCTTGTTGATGGATTTGGGATCCATACATACTTATGCCTGGGGTGCTGCTGCATTAGCATTTTTATATCTACAGTTGGGGTTTGCTAGCCGGTCTGGGGTTAAGCAGATGGGTGGTTATATGACTCTTTTGGAGGCGTGGATTTATGAGCACTTCCGAGCATTCCGACTTTATCAGAACATGGGCTACAATGTAGACATGCCACACGTGTACCATTGGGCATCTAGGAGAGAGGCGGGTTCCTCCATTGACCATTTGAAATCTTTTCGAGCCGAGCTTGACAGTTTAGTAGCTACTGATGTAAGTTTACTCATCCTGCGATAATTTTAAAACTTCCATTTATCTTACCCTTTATGTACTTTAATGCAAAAACACTTTACGTTTACAGGTTATTTGGGATCCATACCACAGCTGCAGAGACCGGCATCCATGTAACCCAGTTACGTTCTACCATGGATGCTTAAAGTGCTTAGACGCTGTCGAACCCTATAAAGATGAATATTGTCTTGATAGAGATAAAAATGTACTGCCAATAACTTTTTACGGGAAGAGATTCAATAGCAGCATGATGATTTATGCCGCTTGAATGATATAATTCAGCGGCTTGAGGATGACATAGATCAGTATCTGCCAATTTCAGTGCCGTCGAAAATTCGGACTTTGTGGAAATTTACAATTAGTCTTAGTGATCTACTTGCCCAACAGATCAGTATCCGTCAATTTCAGTGCCGTCCAAAATTCAGACTTTGTGGAAATTTATAATTAGGGGTTGTTTGAGGTGTTTTAAGTAAGTGTATTTTTTGATTTTTTGGATTAAAAAATTGAGGAAAAAAAATATGGTTATTTGAGATAATTTTTTGAATTTTTACGAAAAAATGTGAATTAAAAAATTATATAAATTAGTGTATAGGAGAAGTTTGGGCAGAGTAGGCAGTATGGTGGGCACAATAATGTATAGGAGAAGCTTGTCTCCTTTTCAGACATTGAATTGGACGGTGCTGTTCGGCCCGTGGGGGCTCACCATGGGTCTCGTTTTGCTAATCGGAACCGTTCAATATGTAGATAATTTCATTATTGTATAGGTAAACAATTAGAAATTTCATTTTTTTAATTAATTCTATTAAATAAAATTTTTTGATAAGAAGGTACTTGTAATTTTTAAAATTACAAAGATAATTATAATTTAAGTAAATTTTAGGAGGTGTGTTTGTAATTTATCCACATAAATATGATGATGTAAGTTTTTCTACTACTAATAAAATTTCTGTCCTAGCAGAGCAGGTAAAATGGCATACAACCAAAAGCACGGGCCAAACAGAAAATTATATATTATTTTGTGCTCGGGGCATTCCCCCAATCAGCTCAGGAACCACAAATTTTCCCTAGTCCCTTGCACATATTTGCTGGCTTTGGCTGAGATAACGCCCCAAATTACCGTATTTTCAACAGAAAGCCCTTAGTGTTGGTAGAAATTATTAAGTGTTCAATGCAACACTGACATGGTGGGTAGGATCTACACAAATTTATGGTAAATATTCATTTGTAGCACTGAATAAATTGTGCTAGTTAGTGTTGGTCTGTAAGAGTGACACCCTCACCCTCACCCTCACCCTCACCCTCACCCAGGTTTTTAATGGTTTTTTTCTTACTAATCTTTTCCCCATTCTCTTTCTTGCTTGCTTCCTTTCCCAGTGTTTCACCTCCAAAAGCAGCAGACTCCGGCTTCAGGGGCAAACATCTGAGCTTGCATCCATTTTCAAGGACATGCTTAAAATAATTGGGGAGTCAAGAACATCATTCATAAGTTTAGGAAATTCTACTTAAAAACTCTACAATGAATAATAATAATAATAATGATAACAGCTATTCACCCCTTCAACAGATCTTCTTTATCAATCTTTTTCTTCATAATTACCTCCCTCACCAGAACACTCAAACTCAAAGTTAGTTTGTAATAATGATGACTACATGCTACTGCAGCGCAAACACCCTCAGAAAGAAATCATTCCCTCTTCCTGCAATGAAGCCTGGATACAAAATCCAATTTACGTACCCAGTTGAGCAATTCATCCTTACTTTTGAATACCTACAAAGTTAAATAAATATTATCAAACATTTACATTTGGTGAGCAATTCAAAACATAATCGTTATAATTTCGTAGACTGAACCTGTTCAGTTGTGAAATGAGTGGTGTAATCTAACACAAAATCCGCGCAAACCTGACTTCCTTGAGTTGACACATATTCCTGCATGTTTTGTATAACATTACAAATTTTTAATGGCATTATAAAGATTAATTTGCAATTTGAAACTGTAAATTTGGTATGCAGTTTGCAATTTTGGAATATAAAATGGAAAAAAAAAAAAAATTACTTCATTCGGAAGTAGTTGCCTGAATTTTTTTTCAAATTTCGGAAGTTGAATGTTGTACAAGTTAACTTTGTTCGGACAACAACTTCCGAATTTGAATACATTTTTCGGACAACAACTTCCGAAATTTATCACTTTTTTCGGACATCAACTTCCGAAAATACATAATTATTTCGGTAGTACATTTCCGAACAAATAACAAAATTCGGCTCTGGTTATCCGAACGACGCTGCGAAAAAAAAAAAAAATTAAACTCACATTTCCTTCGCTCTGCTTCACATGAATACTTATTTGCTGATTTTCAGAAGGCAAATCCTCCATCACAATGATGTTTTCCCTACAGAAATGCCACAGCCCTTTGTAAAAAATGAAAACCCTACAGAAATGCCAAAGCCATTTTCAAAGAAGCATGCCAAACCAGTGGTCTTACACACACGATGCAACAATGTGAAGGTGTGCCTTGAGATGTTTTCAATTAACAATGGTGTCTAAAATGGTAATTTCACTGAGGGATAAAATTGTAATAAAATTAAATATCATTATGTGTGTGTATTGAGGGGATTAGGTGTGTGTATATAAAAGCTCCCCTTTAATAGTCGGCGGCTGGGCACACACATTGACAGTCCCCTCGTTTCTTCTGATAATTACGTGTCAGCCTTCCTCTTGTTGGATACATGGATGAGAAATAGGCTTCGTTTGGAAGGCTAAAAGTCAGGTTTTTTTTTTGCTATTTAGTTTTAAAAAAAATAAAATAAGTTTTTTAGTTTAATAAAATAAATAATCATTCTTTCACAAAAAATTCAAAAATCTTTTTCAAATCAGGTTTTTTAATTTCAGGTTAAAATAGTTAAAAAAGTCAAAAAGTCAACTCACTTCCCAAACGAAACCATATTCTACTCTTTAAGGTTGGTTTGGGAAGTGGGTTGGCTTTTTAGTTTTTTAATTTTTTGATTATCTTAATTTGAGGCTAAAAAGTCTCGTTTGAGAAAGTCTCGTTTGAGAATGATTTTTTTTACTTTTTTGACTTTTTATGAGAAAAAAAATATAATAATTATGGGTTTGATGTGATGTTTTATCTTATTTGGTTAAAAAGTTTATTTTGTCTTTTTGTGACTAAAATAGCCCCAAACCCAATCCAACCCAACCCATCTTTCCAAACAGAGGCTTAATAAATTTAAGGCTGCATTTGGTAGTGATTTCAAAACTCAATTTCACTTCTTGTTTTGAGTATAGTATTTGGTTAGAGTTTTTAAAAATGAATTTTACACCCACTTTTGAAAACACATCTATCCGGTCATCCTCTCGAACGTTCTCTAGACGTCCGACCGGTTGACCGGAACAGTGTTCCTGTTTTTTTTTTTTTTTAGGCACCTGTTATTTTTATATTTAAATAAAAACTTTGTTTGGAGTTTTTTTAAATTTTTTTTATGAGTTTTGAATAAAATTTTGAATTGTGTGTTTGGTTATGAGTCGTAAGTTTTTTAATCAAATATCATATGTCACATCAAAAATTTCAAACTCAATTCAAAACTCATAACCAAACAAATTTTCCACACTCAAATCATAATTCCGAAACTCATAAACTCAAAATACAATTCTATTCTCAAATCATAATTCTAAAACTCTTCCAAACGCTACCTAAGATTTTTTTGAATAAATTACACTTGCACTCCTAGGAGTAGCTTGAGCAGCTCCAATGGCTTGCTATTGAAGTTGTTATTGGCATAATTTGGCAATTCTATTTGTGTAGTGTGCTCCTATGGGACTTTATCGCAGCTACTATATTTGAAAAATGTCAAAGTTTGTGTTGACACAAGCTTTGACAGCTGCTATTTGTCTCAAATCATTAAGAAACGTCTCTCTCATTCCCTCCCTCTTCCCCGCAAAACATCCTTCCCTCCCTCCCTCATGCCCGTCATTTTTGCAAAAGAAACACAAAAATTTGTGTGTTTTGACGACCTTGGACACCCGAAAATACATCCTAACAACATTCGCACTCTCACAACCTCTATTAAGAATTCATTTGAAAAAAAAAAAAAAAAAAACCTCTTTCATATTTCAAAATCAAACCCTAGATTTAAACCCAAAATCTCCAAATCACTAAACCTTTTTAAAGAGCAAATAATCAAGCTAAGAATCATATCAAATGTTGAAAAAATCCCTACCTTAAGAGTAGAAAAAGAAGAGAGCAAGAGTATAAATTTGATGAAACCAAAAACAAGATCTTCTGCGATTAAAACAAAACTTTCAACAAGCTCTACATTTTTCTCCAAGGAACTATGGTAGAGAAAACAATGGATTTAGGTGTATTTGAGGTATTTAGGCAAGAACTAGAGAGAGAGAGAGAGAGAGAGAGAGAGAGAGAGAGAAGAAGAAGAAGAAGAAGAAAAGAGAAGAAGAAGAAGAAGAAGAAGAAATTAGGTTTAGAAGTGTTTTAGAGAGAGAGATGAAAAAGTGACTGCAAAAGGTCTCTCCCTAATATGATATATGCATAGACTGCTCGAACGACCAAAACACTGCTCAAGCGCACAATGATCTCATCCTAGAAGTTCATACATGCAAAAGACCGCTCAACCGAAAATAACCATATTCCCAGAAGTTTTACAGACCTACAAAAATATTAAAAGATCTCAAAGACCACTCGAGCGACCAAAGCACCACTCGAGCGAATAAGAAATGAAATTGATAGCAACTTTTTTGAAAAAATAACTCCTAACC